ATATGCATATGCATATTCCACCCATAAATATACAGTTTCATGACTCCATCCACATTTTCCGCATTGTGGAAATCATGGGTCGTACATATCCCAGTCCTATTTGTATTTATTTTTTTACACACCTGGAAAATTTTTCCATGTACCCCCTGTAATATGCTCTCATACACCAAGGGGTACAGTTATCGCTGGATGGAAATCACTGCGCAATAGAACCCTGTGGCACAGCCTAAGCTTGTATCAGCTTGACCATGAAGGAAGCTAAGCTAAGAAGCTAACCAGAAGTTGCTGTAAACAACCATCCCCTACTAGGAAGAGACAAGTACCAAGCCGAACAAGACAGCTGAAAATGAGAGCTGCTTTGTGAGACAAATTTAATTTAATTTGGAAGCCTTGTCAACACAGACTGGCTTCATTCACTTCCTCCTCTGTCATTGATAAACTACAAGAAGATCAAAACAGCGCAGAAAATCAACATCGTCGTTCACAACTCCTCCTTCTGTTTGCTGATTGGCCCGGTCGAAATCCTACCGGAGAAATCCAAGTCAGAAAGGTCAGATGAAGCAGTGAAGGGAAAGTAGAATTGAGCGGAACTGCGTAGGAAGGCAAGGGCCAGACTAACACTGTGTGTGTCTGTTAGCAAAATATGTCATGAAGTAGTTGAATTTAAATTAAACTCACCGGATGTACATCTACAACTAATTAACTTTAGGAGGCAACCTTATTCAAGATGGCTGACACAACTAAGCAAACAACAAAGTAGCTTTGAGTCAGCTGATTTTTACAGATCTTGAGCTAAAATTTAGTGTGTTAGTAACCAAGAGTCATTCCCAACATATACTCTGAGAACTACACATCATTGCATTGACTAATGGCATCAAACTCATTTGTCTGTTTGCAAAATATCTCACGGTGAAACACAGAAAGATGAGAGGAGGTGGATCTGCAACTCATTAACATTTGGAGTTAACCCAATTTATGATGGCCATCACAGAAAATTGACTTTAGCCAACACAACAAAGGCTATAATTCATTCAGGCTTGAACAGATCACACTGCGCATCACCTTATGTACAAGGTTTGTCCTGAGTGTGTGTGGGTTTCTACTTGTGTGTCACTAGTTACCAGATGTTGTTACATAATTTGACACACAAACACAAACATCTAACTGTGTGGAGGATGAAGCACAGGTACTTTAGAGCTAAAGGTGACCGGGAAAGAAAAAAAACACATAATTACATTAGGTAAGCTGCATCTGGTTCTGCACACAGTGAAACAATCACTTGAGAGCTTCTACTTGCGAGTCAAAGTCACCACAACTAGGTTTTGTCCTGTGGCCGTGTAAAGTAGCGCCTTGAAATTGTGTTCAGGGTCAAACAAATGAAAAGTTTAGTCAAACTGACCCAAATTGAGACTGATTTTTTTCATCTGTAAAAAGGTTACTCAATACAAACCGAGGCGTTGTCCACACGGAAACAATGTTCTTCTAGAACAGGGGTCCCCAAACTTTTTCCTGTAAGGGCCGCATAACTTTTCCCTTCTCTGGTGGGGGGCCGGAGTCAGTTTGTAACAAAAAAAGTGTGACTATTGCAGGAGTGCCTAAATGTAAAAAATTWTTGTTTTCCAGAAAGCACAATCAAATAACCCTCTCTGGGTTCTTCACAGTGTGTATTCTRCTGAGCTAACAGTCCACTTTTTAGCTTTGACAGTTTGTTTGCTCACATTCGGCCTTGCAAGCTATCATACTTGTCTTTGTGACGGGATTCATAGTGTCGTAGATTGTATTCTTTGAATACCGCTACTGCCTCTTTATAGATGAACAAAAATAATAATAATCATTTGTCCACTGCAGCTTAAATGCCCTGCATTCTGAATCAAATTTTCTCTTACCTAATCTTTTCACCATTATTTTGTTCTCTCTTCGAGAGGGGCGGGTTTAGGATTTTTTTTCTGGGGGTTGCCAGATAGGGGAACAGAATGTCACGTTATATGCGTGTATGTATGAAATAGTTACTAACTAATAATAGTTAATAATGAAAATAGTTCATAACTAAGGAACATTTTATTGCAAAAGTCAGACTTTATAATCAAATATAAATAYACATATATGAAAAAAAAACCCTAAATGCTCTCTGGTATTGTTCTGGGGGCCGGACCAAATGGGGAGGCGGGCCGGATTCGGCCCGCGGGCCGTAGTTTGGGGACCACTGTTCTAAAACAACGCTTTCTAATGTATTCTTAGAACAAAAATCAAACAAAAAATAATAATAATAAAAAGTGTGGGGTACCTTTGAACAGTTAAACACAAAACCAGTGTAATCACATAACATGACTCCAACAATGTGTGTCTTTCACAAAAAAAAACACCTAATTTGGCTGCTCAAAATTATCTTGTGACCACCCATTAACTATTTCATGTCCATGCATTTTTTTAAATCATTGTCACCGTATGGAGTCAATTGTCTTTTTTATTATTATTCCCATTTCCCACGTTTTTTAATGCATACTTGAGTAGTTGTAGTTTTTTTCTGCAACATTTCACCAGTAGGATGAAAAAAAAATTGGGGCCTTAGATTTTTAGATGTAATGATAAAGAGGGTGTCTCATTGTCTTATTTCCTATTTATTTAACCAGGTAAAACACATAAAAACATGTAACCTAAAAAGACATGTAGAGGTAGCATCCTTCACCAAAGCCAGCATTTTTATTTTAGTTTAAAAAAAAAAACTTACCAAGCCCAGGTATGAATGTGTTCAGGAAAAGACAGATGACAGCCAAAGGGAAAGGCATTGTGGGTATTGCGGCCCGCAGAGGTCCCTTCTTCTCTCTAACCTCCACCACCACTCCTCCACCTGCCATGGGGCCCCCGGCCATGGCTTTGGCCCCCAAACTGTCCTCCACCTTCACACGCCCCTGCTCACTTCCACCTTCTTTCTGTGCCATCTGCCTTCCGCTCTGTTACTTTTGTTTTAAAGCTGAAATAGCTGCTTGGAAGCAGGCAAGAAAATCTGAAGCGAGACGCAGCAGAAGTGGGGAAAAAAATTGCTCTTGCAACAAGTGGCAACAGCTGCCTGTAAAAGTAGCTTAAAGTAAAAAGTAAACATAAATCTTTGTAGAAACCATGTCTGTTTATGCTGTTAAATAATAAAGTAAATGCTCAGGAAATCATTTATCCTTATGATGTTGAAATTTCTATGAAAAGTTCCACCAAGTTCTGCAAAAAAGAAAGTCTCAAAAACGCAGGAGAAAGATCCCCTGTTTATGTCTCTCCGAGTCTTTCTAGTCGATCACGTCAGAGGTCAGTGATTTCTGATGCCATGTCCATCATGCTCTTAAAGGAATCCTGAATGTGGGTTAATTCCTCCTGAAATTGTTTGAGCAGAATAATAAGAATCAGAATAATCCAGGAAAGATGTGCATCCTTTTCTTTTTATGCCTTCTTCTTTCTGAATAAAACCAAATCCTGCCTATTCCACACACAAACACCTCTCTACAAAAGACGAGAGCTTGAACACAACTCCTCTTTTTCTACTACATCTCCCTCCCCTCCTTCTCTCTCCCTTGCTCATTCTCTCCCACCTCCCCCATTTAAAGACACAGCCCTCTTCATCTGCTGTTTCACTTCACTGAGGTCACATTCAACAAGCTGCACTTAGAAGCATCTCAGCGAGTCCATGGAGTTAATGCACCTACAGCTCAATGTTGATTGCTTTCTAAATTAGTGTTTTGCGTCCATTTCCACAAATGAGCAGGAGACAACAAGGGAGCCGAGATGGTTGCTATGTTTAAATCTGTAAGAATAAAAAAAAAACATAAAAATCACTCCCAGACAGAGAAAAGAAGAGGTAAAAGCAGAAGGTGATGGGAGGTATAAAGGCAGGAGGAGGGAGGGATGATGAGGGACGCAGAGTGGTCGGAGGGGATGGATGACAAAAAATCGTGGAGGGAGATGAAGAGGCAGCCAATGTCAATACCTCAGTAATTATTCACGCAGCCACTCTCCTACATATATGTTTCCATCTCCTATTTTCTTTCATTCCCTCTTTTTTTCTTCACCTCCTCCTCCTCCTATCATCCTGACCTCTTGTTTGAACAGAAGCAAGACACACCGGCCCAGATATCAGCCCTGACATCAGTTTCTGCCTGAGCCCCCTCGGTCCAGCTCATCTTCCTGATTTTTTATTTTTCTCTCCCCMCCGTGCTCTCCCTCGCCTCTCTGTTTGGTTTCCTGGCAACCCAGGAAGCTGTAGGTAATTACACGGAAGATATTGATCTGCAGCTTTCTTTTTCTTTTCCCCTTTCTCCTGTAATTTCACTTTTTAATTCCCAGTTTTCTTTAATATCTTTGAGAGACACAGCAGCTGCAACACAAAGAGCTTTTACCTTGTAATGCAGAGCAGCCTTATCATGTGTCTGACAGCACAGGACTCTGAGAAATCTGGACAGCTGAACTACCATCACTGGTGGATTGTTGAGCCGAAGGCATGCAGTGAGTGTGTGTGTGTGTGTGTGTGTGTGTTATGCTCCTGACTACCATGACAACATGACAGAAACAGTAATGCAGTGCTTGTTCTGAAGCTGCATTTGGGTTCAGAGCACCAGAGGAACACAGGTGATTTACAGTTTAATCACCCTGCAAGCGTGATAATAACCTAACAGTTATGAGTGTGTGTGTGTGTGTGTGTGTGTGTGTGTGTGTGTGTGTGTGTG